TATTGTTGTCCAACTCTCACATTACATCGTAACCGTTCCATACACATCCGTATCAACCTGACTAGTTTTTTTGGAAAGCCAAGTTCCTGCCTCGCTGTCCACAGTCTGGCCCTGCATACTCTATCAAATGCTTGTTTAAAATCTATGAATATCTGGTGAAGCTCACGATCAAATTCCCAGCATTTTTCCATTATCTATTTTATTGTGAATATCTGGTCAATAAAAGAGCGGCTCGGTCTAATTCCTCATTGATAAGCTCCAACGATTCCTTCTGTGTATGTTTTGGTTCTTTCTAGCAGGATGTTTGCAAGGATTTTGTAGGAGGTGTTTAGGAGTATTATTCCCCGGTAGTTAATACATTGCTTTTTGTTTTCTTTTTGTGTATTGGTACAATAACCCATTCTTTCCATTCATTTGGCATTGTTTCTTCTCGCCAAATGTCTTGAATTAGCTTGTATATAGAACTTTACAACGTTTCTCCTCCATCTTTTAAGCACTATGTGGGTATACCATCGCTACCTGGTGTCTTAATATTTTTAAACTTTTTGATTGCCTGTATTACTTCTTCGTATGTCGGGTATTGGTCTTCTATTTCAGCTGTATGTACCTCTATGTTTGATGTATTTCTGCTAGATTGGTCGTTCAATAGTTGATAGAAGTATTCCTTCCAGGTTTTTAGTATTTCCTTGTCATCAGTAATAAGCTGCCCGCTGTCGTTTTAAAGGAAGTTTCCTGTTCTTGCTTGGTACCCAGTCTTGATATCTGAAACTCCTTTGAAAAACTGTCTCGCTTGTTTGTTCTTTCTTTTTTCTTCTATATCTCTGATTATTTGTTCCTGATACTCCCTCTTCTTTTTTTCATTAGTTTTCTTGTCCCCCTTCTTCTTTGTCTATACATTTCATTGTTGTTGTGCGAGGGGTTTTGTAGCATGTTCCTTCTAGCCATATTTCTTGCTGTTATGGAGTTCAAGCAATCACCATCGAACCATTTTTTTCTTGTTTTCTTTTTGTGTCCTAGTACTTCATCTGATACGCTTGTCAGAGCTAATTTGATATTTTTCCAAGCTAAGTCTATGTTGTTATAGTCTTCTGTCTGTGTTAAAGCGATTTTTATAGACTTTTGAAATTTCTAAACTGTCTCCTTATTACGTAGAACTTCGGTATTCCATACTTGTGTTGGTATATTTTTGTGGGTTTATTCGGACGCTATTCTTATCAATATCTTCGCTTTTACCAGAAAATGATCCATGTCTCCATCAGCTCCTCTTAGGCTTCTTACGTCCAGACAGTTACTACCTCTCCTGGCATCTACTAGAACATAATCGATCTGATTTCTTGTAACGCCGTCGTTAAAGATCCATGTTTCTTTGTGTATTTTCTTGTGTTCGAACATTGTTGATTTTATTAGTAGGTTGTGGGACGCTACAAAGTCTATTAACCTTGTTCCGTTATCGTTGCTGACATCGTGAAGACTATGGTTACCTATTGTTGGTTTGTACGCAGCTTCCTTCCTAATCTTTGCGTTGAAATCTCCTAAGATAATATGCATATCCTGTTTGGGTAGATTATTTATCAGTTTCTCTAGTTTCTCATAGCAGTTATCTTTTACATGCTCTTTCTTTTCCTATGTCGGTGCATGGGCAGCAACTCGAGAATAATTATGTAGTGGTCCTTTGAGTCTGATATAACAGAGTCTTTCATTAACGGGTTTGAAAGTTAAGACTGACCCCACAAGACTTTACCTGACTATAAAACCAGTGCCGAATTGATGTTCCCGTTCGCTTTCGCTGAAAAACACTACTGCTTTATTAGCTTTTAGTGTACCTTCTCCAGTCCATATAATTTCTTATAAAGCAGTTATGTAAATGTTTCTGGATTCAAGTTCTTTGACCACCTGAGTTAGGGCTCTAGGCCGATATAGGCTTAGTACGTTCCAGGTTCCTATATTCATTGTCCTTTGTCGTCGCTTTTATCGTCTTAAAAGATCCCTCTGTATCCGAGTTATGTGCTTAGTTTTCATAACTATGTTTTTTTTTACAAGAAGGGATAGTTAGTCCTTTTCTTATCCCTCCCCCTTTTTTATCCTGGACTTGGGACCAGGCAACGGTGTAGTTTAATCGTTACTTGACGAGTAAAATTCCCTACTCTAAGATTCAAAATAATGTTAACCTCTAAAAACCTACAGGGAGCCAAGCGATAAAGTTTCCCGCAAAAACACCAATAGTCATTGACAATTGTGGTTCTTACTCTTATGTAAAAGAGGAAATTGACATCAAAATGAATAGAAATAAAATCAAATTTATAGTTTGTATAAATATCCAAATGTAATATGTACAACTTCACATATTTGAGAACTATCATACTGGAGGAACTCGAACACGAATTATGGACATGAACGTAAGAAACAAATTATTATCTACTTTTCGTATCGCCTGATTATACCTTTCCCTTTTTCCTTCTTTATAATAGGCAATATTACCTGATTTTCTTTAATTTTTTATTAATTAATTGATATTACTCTTCTATTTTCCTCGGACTTTTAATATTTCTTCGGGCTTCACCGGTGATTTGCCGCGTGCTACTTTGACTCACCATCATCATCTTTGGTTGACCTGTTGGGTGGTCTCTACAACCCTGGGTGGGTCTTGGCCTGTTCAAGAATTAGTTTTCATTCCCCCATCAAGTTTCGCCCTGGCTTTCCAATTTCTGACCTCTAGATTCCTCAAGTCATCTTAGACTTGAGTTTTAAATCTGGCCTGCCTCTCTTCCTGGTTACTACAGGCTCTTGATATAATATCTGTCTTTGGGGGTCTTCAATGTTATTTGAATGGTATAAATTATACCATTGAGTTCACAGTGGAGACGAAAATTGATTCATCCTTAGCGTTTCTTGACGTTTTCATAAAGAAACACAAATTCCAGTGTTCTGACTACTTAGATTATTTTACTAGTACACGTTTTACGTTATCATTGTAATGCTGCCGTCTCTATTAGGACATTTTACTCATTTGCACTTTTTTGCCGTCGATAATGGCGTAGTTCGTTGACATGAGTTAAGACATGCATTAAGAAAAGTACGGTACATGTCTTGTGGCCTGTTTTACATTAAATACTGTATTTTTTTAAAATAAACGACAACAATATAATATTTATATGTGTAGGTTAATAACCTACACATTGTTCTGCATGTGTGGATGTTCTGCAATAATAGTCTAAGCCACATATACATGGTTCAGAGTAAATGAGCATATTGTGTCTACCTACTTTAAGCAATTCACTGATAGAAAATAAGGCTCTATTTTCAAATTTTTATATTTCAATAATTACAGGCTATCTAAAAAACGTACAAAAGCAAAATAAGTAAAATTTGTTTATTGCAAAAATAACTTAAAGCGGCTTAGACGGTTTTTGCAAAATTGTAAAAATATAAATAGTCATTTTGCAATAACCGTCTATCCCTACGAAATAATAATAAGTCAAAATAAAGATTTGTTCAATTTAATATTTTGCACCTGGTGCACACAATGAAAAGACCCTTACAAATATTTGCAACAAGCGTCTAACCCACATATTTATAATGAAAACATGGGTTAGACTATTTTTACAAATTTCTGTTTTTATATTATTTGACGAATATGGTTTAGAACTTAGTTCACAAACGCCTCCATGAGTATGGATATGGCTTATATCATTTTTGCTTGATGTAGTATGCATTATGATCGACAGTTTGACACGTCTAACCTCATTTGTAAACATTTGTGGGTTAGACGGTTGTTGCAAAACACCCTGTACATCTTCGATAACAATTTCCGAGTTGGAAGAGACATTCAAAACATGTAATTTTAATTACAATTATTATGGGTTATTTCCAAAAATAACCCTAAAAATTAACTTCAACAAAACAAAAGTAATGACAAACACGGAAGACCAAAAGGCAATAAAAATAAAAACAGAAAAAATAGAACAGGTAAATGAGTGTATCTATCTAGGACAAGCAATCAGAGCTAATAGAGAAAATCAAACAGCCGAAATCTCGAGACGAGTAAGAATGGGATGGGCAGCGTTCGGCAAACTTTCTTACGTTCTAAAAAATCAAACAATCCCTCTATACTTACGAAGCAAGGTATATTACTCCTGTATCATACCGGTGCTCACCTACGGAGCACAAACATGGACATTTACACAGGCCAATTTGGATAGGATAAGGAAGGCACAAAGAGCGATGGAGAGACAAATGTTGGGTGTATCACTTAGAGATAGAAAACGTAACCAGTGGATCAGAACCAGAACAAAGACACTAGACGCGATAGAACAAGCAGCAAAACTGAAATAGAAATGGGCTGGACACAATGAACGTCTCCAAGACGGACGATGGAACAATGCCATCGGAAAGTGGCGTCCATACAATGCAAAGAGATCAAGAGGCAGACCACAGATGAGGTGGAAAGATGACATCAGAAAACAAGGAGGTCCCACATGGCAGAGAACAGCTCAAGATAGGGAAAGATGGAGAGAACTGGGGGAGACCTATATCCAACAATGGAAGGATAGAGAATAGGTTCAAAAAAAAAATTCCAAAAAATACAGTAGATATTCAATGTATCAAGAGGACCAACAAATTAAGAATTGTTATAGTACTAGTAGTTTATAATAATAGTATGTTTATGAAACAAAGACTATGAATAAAAAAGAACAATACATGATTCTTGCGAGGAAAAGAAATGTACTTATACATATATTTGATGGAAAACTTTGGAATGGATTGTGGTTGAGAGTATAAAACGAAAAAATAGACAATGTTTATAGATATCCTAATTTTGAAGAAGTTATAAAAGCGCAAACGTTACCGTAGTCTAGGTCGTATCCAATGAATGCCAATTGGGAGATTATCAAGGAGAATAACATACACATTTCTTCATTTCATGTCTTTTGACTTTCAATATAAACAAGTTCATAATTCACATTCTTAATTTTTTTATGTAGTATATTTTACTGTTACAGAAAAATGACGTTCAAAAGTCTTCTTCTTAAAGACATCTACCATTTCGATATCGCTGATTATGCTGTCTTCTCAGCCATGTTGCTGCTATCGGCATTAACTGGATTATATTTTGGCTGTAGAGGAAGATATTGCAAAAGCGAAGCTAGTCAAACCCTTAGCGAATACCTCACAGGAAACAAGAATTTGAAACCCTTTCCTGTAGCTCTCTCTTTAATAGCAAGGTAAGATTTCATAATCAAAATATGTGTAGTCCTTAGTATTTGAGGTTTTAAACAGCTAATAATCAGGGTGTGTAGGAAACTAAAATAAACTATAATAATATTTTTTATGATAAAGGGACTTGATCAAAAACTATTTCTGTTCCCTTTACAAGGAATTCCTTACAGGAGACACTCATAGTTTTATTTGTAGACTTAAAAGACACTTATTTTTGAGTCTTCTTCTAAAATAGTTTCTTTCCCTTGTGTCTCCGTGTCCATTTTATTCTCATAAGTTGGATCGAAATGCTATCATGCATGGCATGGCATTTCCAAAGCTATAATATTCCAGAGTTCGTTAGCTATAATATTCCAGACATCGCTTAGGCAACAAATTTTTCCTGACCGTGCATCCCATTTGAATGATAGTGTTACACCTTAATATCAAATCTCTCCGTATGATGGGAAAATAATAGTGCGGCTTTATGGTGATTTTTCGATTGAACACTATAAAGGTATGCATGTGTGTACATGTATTTTATATAATTTCTGCGTGTATGTGTGTGTGTCATGTTAAATCTACAAATCTACAGTATGTCACCCGCAGAATACTGGACAGTTCGGACTCACATTTCCAGTTTGGCACGGTCCTAAATAGATTGTTCATAAGAAAAAAACAGTGATAATATGAATAAAAAATATGGTTTGTCTTTTGACATACTTCTTTATTCCTTTAATAGTATACAAAAGTTTTCATTTTTGTATACTATTATTCAAGAAAGATACAATAGTTTATTATTAAAAAACAAGGTTTTAATTAGATATTTATGTATATATTTTTTTGCAGTTACGTATCAGGAGTAACAATATTGGGTACACCATCAGAGATTTATCTTTTTGGAACACAATATTGGTTTATAGTGATAGCGATATGGATGAGCGGTCTAGTTGTATCAACTGTATACCTTCCAGTATTTTTGACTTTGCAAGTCAATTCTTCATACGAGGTAAATGCATATCTAATAATTGTTCAATTATATTTTTTTGTCATTTTAATTGATTGAATAAGGAGCTCAGTTCGAAGAAGTAAAATTTTGAGGAAAGTCATTAATTGAACCATTTATCAATAAACATCTTTGTTATTTGACAAAATTGTTTATGTGCAAACTTAAAATATATAAATAGCAAAAAAACACACAAAAAATCAAAAATGTTTTGAAAACAAACCAAAGAAAATAGAAAAAACAGAAAATACTACGTATCATATGTATCATACTACGAAGATGAAAATTTATTTTTTAAGCTCCATTATGTTCTGATCTTGATTTCTATCCAAGTATCTGTGAATTGTTTATTTGCTCTTCAGATATTTTCCTTTGGAATTTTTATTTTTTGTTTAACTTTCGATATCGCTGTGCAAATTACTAATATTTGTCTGGGATATTTTTTTGTCTAAAACTATTTGGGTTCCATTTTTACAACTTTAAATGGCTGTATTGATTTTGTATCTCTTACGGTTTATTCTATGCACTCTGATAATATTTTTTATGTCTTCTTCTTTTAATCACTGAGGTGATAATCATTTTGTAAGTAACAGTGACTAACACTAACTAATGAGATATTTGATGAGGGAAGGCACAATATCATTTAATTCTAATTTGACCAATATCTAAAACTTTACTTTACTATCCAAGCAGGGTAACCTGATTACCTGATATACAATTTGCAGATAATATGGTCTTGCAAACAAAAAATGATTGTAATATATTATTTTATGAAATAAAAGTTTATTTTAAATAAAATAAAGTTATGCCGACCACAGTAAAGATGGTGAGACAATATAACATAAAGGCATAATCCAAGAGAATAGAAACGGACAGAATTGCCTAATAAAAAGAAAAAGAAGACAAAATTAAAGGTAAAAATGTATAATAGGTATTCCGTTCATGGGTAGCTGCCGAACATGAACGTCTTGTGGGGTGTGTTGTGTTCCGGGATAGTAAAAAAGCTCCGAAGTATCTCCCATGATACTCGTGATAAAGTGTACATTTGTATAACAGTAAAACATTGAAAAATTTGTTTTCAAAATTTCGACAAAAATTTATTATATCTTATCACTATAGCTGTTTCGTCAGAATTCCTTTCACAAGTATTCTATTTTTGGTATGTGTTTACACTTTGGTATGTCTTTAACGAAATAGGTTGAGGAGGGGAGAACTGTTTGTTGGTCATTCAGAATTATTTCTGTGTTTTTTCATTTGTTAATTTTCATAGATTCTAATAAAGATTACCTCTTAAGACACTTAATTTGGATGTGAAGAATTTGAAATTCGTCATTAAAAGAATGATTATGATCTAGAAGATGAAGTGCATATGTAGATTGTAGAATCTGTTTTTCTATTATTAAAAGGCTTTTTATGTTTTGCTATACGTTTGTTAAAAGTTCTACCAGTTTGACCGATGTAAGTTTTTGGGCAGTTGCCACATGTGTGGCAACTGACCCAAAAACTGTCACTGTGGAAAACTGGTGTTTTCCTGTCTTTTTTATGTGTTTGGCTATTTTTGTTAATATTTTGTCTGTACGTAATCGAGCAAAAGTTACTGGTTTTTTTTCTCTGGTAGTGGGGATACAAATTTCAAGGCTTTCTTGTGTAGTTTTTGATTTGAAATTTTATTTTTTGTTCGTTGTACCAATTGTTCGTGTCGGTATGGGTAGGTTAATGAAATACGGAGAACTTTTTTAGTTCTGGTTTGTTTTTAAGTCTGATAATTTTAAACCTAAAAATGTATGGATTGATGTTGTTCTGTTTCTATTGTAAATTTATTATGACTATGGAGTGAATTAATATACGATTAAAATTTGTCAAGTTGCATGTTAGTTCCTGTAAAACATACCAGTACATCGTCTACGTATTTCCACCAATATAAAAACTGTTTGAATACGGGATATTTTAAAATCTTTTTCTTTAGATGATCCATAAAAATATATTTGATAGAGGATTACACATTTTAAGTCCTGTACTGTTATTTGTATATATTTCATTGTTAAATTCAAAGTAGTCCTGGTTTTTGCAAATTTCAAAAGATGTAAAATTTCAGATGTAATGATTGGATTTGTAGACCTTTTAGACCATAATATTACAAATCAAATCATTACATCTATTATAGTTTTTCCCAAAGTTAATCGTTTTCGAGTTTTAAAACATTTAAAACTGAAAAAAAAACGCAAAATAACGCTTTCCAAGGCTCAAAAACACAAGTAAAAATATTATTTTTTTAATCATCAAATGCTTAAATTCAAGTTCAGGGCTTCTTCACTTAATTAACGATTAAAAAACAATGTTTTAATATGAAGTAAGCCAAAAATGCTTATTAGACTAGGCGGGATCTGTAGAAATTCAAACCATAATGGACATTTTCCATAGGAAGCTATTTTTTGCTGGAATCCCTTTAGAATATACCCAATATCGATAATCACGATATGCGCCAGTCGCAAACCCTGTGTTAAATTTTTTATTTAACAAAATCTGAAAACAATTGAAAACTTCTCATTTTTTCGCTCATATTTTCGTTTATAATTCGGAAAATATTGATCATATTGAAAGAATGATACGAAGTTAAAAGTTTCGTTATTCAATTTTACACAATATTTCGTTAGCTAGAAATTAAAAATTTAATGTTTATTGTGAGAAAATAGCAATGCTTGGAAAAAAAAAGTACAAGAAATGAAGTTAATCCTTTAAATGTTTTCGACTTTTTAAACTTGACTTACAAGCTCCATATTCCGCCTAGAAAAACTTTTTAGTATGTTTAAAACGTCTGCTAAATTTTGTTAAGATCGGTCGGATAGGTTTTGCATAATTATTTTGCAATCCAGCCTACTGGAAAAAAATCGCAAATTTTCAAATTTATAGTAGGCCCTAAATAAGGCCCTCAGAGAGTTGCATATTTTTTTAAATATAAAGGAAGGCTTAAATTTTCAAATGCTTTTTGTAAAATTCAAATCGGTTCACTAGGAGAGCCTAAAACATTTTTTAGGCTTAGGGGTGTATTCTGTAACCATTCCGTTAAATTTTAGAGGCCTCTAAAATTTTAGCGTCCGCTACAATTATTTTTGTATTCTGTAAAGGTCGATTCAGACACATCAGTCCCGTCATAGTCTCGGCGCCGAACCGGTCCTGTTTGGTCACAAATCAACTATCTGACAGCTGTGAAACTGTTTGTCAACTGATGAGTGTGAATGCCGGCAACATATTTGTATTAAAGAATATTTTGTATGACGGATTGTCCGATTCGGCGCAATCACTGTGACGAGACGTGACTGATGTGTCTGAATTGAGTTTAACTTATGCATCCGTTAAAATCATAACCTAAACCGTTAAAACTCCCGCTAAAACAGAATATTTTGTAGGATGTCAAAACTTGTACTCTTATTTTTAGCGCCCGTTAAATATCATTTGTTTATTTTTGTTTGGTTAGGTTTATATGATTATTAGTTTGTTATTTATATATATATATATATATATATATATATATATATATATATATATATATATATATATATATTATACTGCAGATAAGTAATTAAAAAAGACTAATAATGAAAGTTTACTCTCAGTTTACTTTATAATCCGTGTGTTACATCTATAACAAAATTAAGGTTGATCTGCACCCTCGATTAATTTGTTTCTGATCCTAGAGATGGCTCTACTGCGGCATGCTACTGTGGTAAATTTTTTAACTTAATTGTAGATTTCTACATGACGACTCTGTAATATTTTCAAATCCTAACATAAATTGCAGTTTTCTGTCATTATATCAATTGGCTGAGTTGCCAAGTTGTGTAGACAGTAATTTTATCAAATATATGCTATAACTTATATGGTTACTAGTAGACCAACTAAGCAAAGATATCTTATAACAACATCTTTATGTATAATACTTTGCTGTTCTGCTATGTCAGTCGGAATATAATATACCAAATTCATTCATTATCTAAACAATTTTACCGACAAAGAAATTATGTATATTGCGGCTTTCTTTGTCAATATCATATTACCATTAAATTCGTACATCATATTATATTACATTTTTGTTGATAGTTAAAAATTAAATGATCTGGTATTATGATTATGTAATATTTTAGTGGGAAATAACAAAAATGTTATTTAAATCTATTACTATCTCAGTCTTTATGAATTAATAAACTTTACTATGTCTTCTTCTTCGGGTATATTTATATTTCTTATTTCATGCTTCATTGTTCTGGCTTTATTTGTCTGATTATTCTTATAATTTTTCTTTTAATAATTCTTACTTTTTCATCATCTTTTTTCGTAAGACACATTACTTCCGCCCCTTATGCTATCATCGGTCTAATCGCTGTGTCTATGTATTTTTGTCTTTGTTTTTTTTGCTGTTTTTTTTTTTATTTTTAAGTAGTGGGTGATATTTCCAAAACACCCCGTTCTTCTCCCGCCTTGTGTGCGTGTTAGTCATACGTTGGATGTATTATTTGGAGTGGTTGATGCGTATTTAGTTATTACGGTTCTATTTGGTCTATTTAGTTCTTCAGTTTCCGTATTCGACAATTTTATAACGCCAAATGAGGACTATGTGAAAGGTGTCATTGCATATGTGTTTATTGCTTTTACTAAGTGCTTGGAATTAAGTTTGCTTTTGAGTATTATCCAGATTTAGCCATACGGCTCACACTCCCTCTATGGAAAATATCGAGGGAAATTCACTCATTCCAGATACCTACAGTATTAAAAGGATTGAGCTTTGGTGGGACTCTTTCTGTGTTATTGAGCCCTAGGTGACTTGGTGTACTGGAGTATCTCCCAAAAATTTTCGTACATATCTGGACGTCGCGAGGAGTACAGCTTTATGTATGGCCTTATAAAGATGTTCATTTAGACCCAGCTGTTTTATGTTCGCTAGGTGATTTTTGGGAATAACACGAGTAACATGAGTATTATTATTATTATTATCCAGATTTAGCCAT